AGGGTGCATGCGTGCATCCATACCGCAAACAAACAAACAAAAATAAAAAATACGGCTTAAGCCCCATAGTAGAGAAGGAAAACTAAAAGTTGGATGCAGCAAAAAGAGAACTTCGAGGCGCACTAAGAAATTACCTTGCCGTGCTCCCAGCTTCAGTCAATTTCCCTGCTGCCAACTCAAACATGAAAAAGAAGCATCGCATAAGCTCATAAAGAACACCACAGATCGATGCAGTCCATTTGCATATAAAAATTAATGGGACAGTACAACATATAAGTCACGTAATATGAAATGATTCTGCATTATACTGTCTTATTTTGTCTTTAGTTTTTTTATTTTTACTGTTTTTATGCGCAGCAACGCACTACGCGTCTTCTGAATCAGTGTACATGGGGATCCAGGATGAACAACGGCAACACAGAGAAGAGGAAAAATATCCAAAAACTTAGAATTAGATTTCAAACAGAGAGAAAAAACTGCAGTGTAAGAAAGTAGCCCAAATAAAGAAGGGAAGCGTCTATGGAATTCCATATATTCCCTTCCAAGACGCAGTTGGCAACGTAAACTCACTCGCATTGCAAGCATAAGAAACAGAATATTGGTGAAGAAATGGCAAGGCCAACGCTTTTTTTTCTAAGCAATAATAATAATAATAATAAATGAAGACATATTAAACAAATCACCTAAAACCGGTCCCGCTCAGGAACAAATTTGAGCACCACCTAGTTAAATTTAGTAATAAACCAGTAATATGCTCAAATATATATGTTAAGCACACCTCTAAGGCGTAACTCTTGCGAAGGAAAATGATAAATATAAAACTAAGAAGAAACAGCCCCCAAAACCCTGCAGATGCCCCAAAAGAAAAAGATATATTATTCTTTGTTTTTTGTTTTGTGAAGGTAAAGCCCAATGACTTAGGCTCCGATTTGGCCTCTGTTTATCCTATTAGCCTCATTCATTCTTTGTTGCTTTTTTTTAAATTCAGAATACATACATACGCAGATATCGGTGCATACATAAATGGTGGGGCTTGAACTCCCCAAATACTTCAAAGATATTGGGAATGCAGAAGCGAGGGCGCAGCACATATGCATGTATAATGACACAAATTCTCGCGTCACTGACGCTTCCCAATGATAATATAAAATAATAATGTATATAATATTAGTGGAAACTGCCATCGGAAGAAAAGACGGAACAATTACACTCCGCTACCCTGTTCGGAAGAATAGCCGAACGGGCACTGAAAACAATTATTATTACCGGCTTGTAGAAGTCTAATACGTGAATGGGGTAATTCCGTAGTTGCCTAATTTCAATAAATAAAAGGACCAGTTTTGCCTAGAGTTTTTTTTTCTTCGTGTGCTTTTGCGTGTGTAGGGGGGGGGGGGGAAGGGCGTTGGTAGAAAGAAGTTCGAAAGGCCGCGGCCCAGAAGCCAGGTGAAGGATAAAGCACAACTCCGTGATGACGACAACACCAAAGCTTTATTTAAAGCTACAAGCTTGTATAGCTCAATACAATGTCCCCCTCGAAGTACCACGTGGGATGGGTAAGCACTACCGCGAACAGCATGCCCCTGTTCAAAACATCACCTGTGAGAAAACGGAGTTCAAGGAAAGTTCATAAAAAAACGCATCACAAACATGCTGAGGAAATTGAAGAGTTCTCCAAATATGTAGAAACCCACGTCTACTAAAAAAAAAAGCCGCCAGATAGGGTGTGGATTTGTGCCTTTTGAACCCATCTAGTATTTGGCTCCAAGGAAGAAAGTTGCAACAACGACACCAGAAGGCAAAGAAGCGAAAGGAAAATAAAAAACAGGCAGACCAGAAGCAAAGCCCGATTGTACCTTGTTTGCTTATTCTGGGGCTCTCGGAGGGCCATTTTTTGCTCCAATTTTCTATCGTTCTCGGATGAAGAACTTCTGTAAGGGGCCAAAAGCATCGAGTTCCGAGGCAAACACAAACTGCAATATATATAAGGATTCATGAAGGATACTGGTAAATTACGGAGAGCCAGAGATAACGTGCGACCAAGACAGCGGCAATAAGCGGCACATATTGCCGGAAAATAGCGTGAAGAACATGCTCATTCGTGAAGTAAGAATAATAGCAACGTATAAAACAAAAATCAAATGCAGAAACCACCACGCAACCCAATTATGAAAAACAACTCTGTAAACCTTTGCCAGGATTTTTTTTAAAAAAAGTTGCAACAATGGTGATGGAGGAATAATCCAGTAACACTAAAAACAAAGGAAATACTCGGAATATATTCTGGCATTGCCTCACAAGCTTGAAATTGACGGCGTCGATCCGTTTTAAATCTCGGAAAGTAAAACCCAACGGGCAAGAAAAAAAAACACACACAGACGCGCGCGCACACACACACACACGGTTGCTTCGTTGCTGTGATTAGCAGCAAGGATAAAGCTGAATAAATTCCCGTTCAATAATCCACTTAATCTCGGGATAGGCCGTTTTATTTTTTTATGAGATGCCAAACACTTCTGGGCGGTAGTAAAATTTCAGACTTGGACCGACTGGAAAACAAAAGAACAACCTCATCAGGGCAGCAATGCTCATTCTGTTTTTGTTTCGGTCCTTCGCCTAAGCGGAGCCCCGCAGCAGCCTCACGCGGAGAAGTCGCGGTGAAACAGGCTAACATGTCGCAGTAGATTGTTGCAGGACAGTTTTCCCGCATCAAGCTCCCTTCTCCGGGATCCCGCGTGACACGACGTGTTCCGGTTGAAAAAAAAAAAAGGAAAGCAAAAACAAAAACAAAAAACGTCCCTCCACACTTGCCCGCGCCCTTGAAAAGAAATCGTCACTTCTTCCCTGTTCCTCATCCGGCGGCGTGGCACCCCCCGTGGCGCGAACGCGCGCCGCTTGCCTCACCCCGAATGAGTACACGTTTTTTTTTTTTAGCCCTCCTCGTTGTTGCTGTGTTGGCCTCGCTCGCGTGCAAAGGGCGGTTCCGTCCGACAAAGGAAAAAAAAAAGGCCGCCGCTGTGAGACGTTAGCATACAAAAAACAAGCGAGCAAGAGAAGCGGAAGTAAAAACGACAATAGCAGAGGACCACAGCGCTAGCGACCCCGACCGAGCCGCCGACCACGAAGAACGGCGGTTAGGAGAAAAAAAAAAAAACGATTAAAAATATCAAAGGCCGTGCGCATGTGGGCCGTGTACGCGTGTACGCCGGGTGCGTCCTCCCTGGCGCAGTCGGCAGCGCGTTAGGCTGTTAACCTACAGGTCGTTGGTTCGAATCCAACGGGAGGAGCTTTTTCGACAGCCCCGGGAACAATTTTTTCAATGCTCCATCGTCTTCTCTGTGGCAGAAAAGCTGGACGAGTAGGGGATCGAACCCTAGGCCTCCTGTATGCAAAACAGGCGCTCTACCACTGAGCTACACGCCCGACGAGGACGCCCGTCACGTCAGCCTGTGGAGAAGAAATTTTTTAAATCGAGATCATCTCTCCTTTCCTTCAATTTCTGTGGCTCGCTTGAGTGACTGCTCCAGTGGCCTAATGGATAAGGCTTTGGACTTCTAATCCAAAGATTGCGGGTTCGAGTCCCGTCTGGAGTAAGGAGTTTTTGTGTGCCGTGTGTGTGTGCCTTCCTAAAAGGAAAAGTGAGGCTTGTGAAAGGGCGGCAAAGGAAAACCCTCGCCGTTGCCTTCCTAGCTCAGCGGTAGAGCGCACGGCTTTTAACCGTGTGGTCGTGGGTTCGATCCCCACGGATGGCGGCTTTTCCCCCCCCGCCTGCTGCGGGAGGGCACGGCGTGCGCTGAATAGCGACTGCGCGTCCGCCGCGAAAACCGCAAGTCACCCCGGCGGGAGAGCCGCGTCGACGGTCTTCGAACGCCCAAAGCGCAGTTTTTTTCGACGCCACAGCAAGCACGCGCCCACTCCCCAGCCGCCGCGGCAGGGCGGCGCGAACGACGGCCCGCGCGCACGCACGCACACACGCGGCGCGGGGGGTGATCAGTCTGCATCTTCTACGTTGCGAGCAAAAAACGCGGGGCAGGGGTAGACAGCGAGGGCATGTAATGGGCATGTTTCACGAAAACGATGGCGCAGTTTCTCCCGGAGGTGGAAAAGAGTCCGCCACTCCGCGCCACCAACGCCAACGGCGCCTCCATAGGGAGAGAAGGCAACAGAAAAAAAAAAACCCGCACAGACGCGGCAAAACGCAGGCGCCCACTAACGGACAAGCCCCTCCCCCTCTCCTCTTCTTTGGCGGCTTATTTCGTTTTACTCTTTTATGCTTGCATTGCGCGTCGCGACCGGCAACGGAGGCCGCGCAAGGCGTCCGACCCCTGCGGCGGGGGTGGGTATATGCCCCTCCGCCGCCGATTGCCTCCCCCCGCCTCCCCCGCCTCCCTACCCTTTTGGGGGAGGTGCGTGGAATTCATAGGGGGTGACGCACGCGTGGAAAAACCACTTTTTTTTT